GGGGGGGGGGGGGGGAGGGGGTAAAGGGGGTATTAGGACCCATATTTAATATCTTAATCCATAAAAAAATATATTAAAAAAAAAGAAATAATAACTAAAAAAAAAAAAGAAATAATAATCCTCACATGGCCGGGGTGGATCAGTGGTTGATCATCAACCCATGAACCAGGAGGGCATGATTTGGTTCCTAGCCAAGGCACATGCCTGGGTTTCGCCCCAACCCCTAGTAGGGGACATGCAGAGGGCAGTCGATCAATGGTTCTCTCTCATCATTGATGTTTCTGTCCCTCCCTCTCTCTGAAATCAATAAAAATATATTTTAAAAATCCTCTAAAGCAGAGGTCAGAAAACTTTTTATATAAAAGCCAGATTGTAAATATTTCAGGTTTTACAGGCCATATATGGTCTCTGTTGCAAATTCTATTTTGTGTTTTTCTTTTTTAACAACCCTTTAAAAAATGTAAAACACATTCTCTGCTCATAGGCTGTACCAAAACAGGCCACAGTTTAGATTTGGCTCATGGGCCATAGTTTGACAACCACTACTCTAAAATACACAGTGTGTCCACTTTGCTACTTCAGTGATTTTCAAATTTCCAGTTGGCACTTGGAAGTGCTCCAGGGGCTACTACTGGGTTCCTAAGCCCCCACTCCCACTCCGTCTCTGGCTTACCACTCTTCCCCTTATCTTCCCTGAAAAATTCAGCCAATTACACAAGGCCAAGCAAGAAAGGCATCTCTGCAAGGGTGGGAGAACCACAGTGGCCTGGAGTGTGTCTGAGAAATCCAGCAGGGTGAGGGGGCATGCACCATACAGCCTGAGAGCTAAGGAGGCCACTCAGCAGGGATGTCAGATCCAAAGAGGGGTGAGGCGGAAATCTGGGGGTTGGAGGGCAGCTCAGCATGGGGTTTCAGAGCCTATCTTAGTCAGCTCAAGCAACTATAACAAAATACCACATATTGGGTGGCTTAAACAGCAGGCATTTATTTCTCATAGTTCTGGAGGCTGGAAAGTCCAAGACCAAGGTGCCAGCGAATGTGCTCCTTATTGAGGGCCCTCTTCCTGGCCTGCAGGTGGCCGCCTTCTCCCTGTAACCTCAGATGGCAGAAAGGGGAAGCTTTGGTGGCCCTTCGTATAAAAGCCTGACTCTTATCATGGTGGCTCCACCCTCACAACTTCATCTAAACTTAAGTATCTACCAAAGGCCCCACTCCTAATACCATCACACTGGGAGTTAGGGTTTCAACATATGAATTTTAACGGGACATAAACATTCAGT